TTTTCTGAATTTCTGGATATTTTTTATCTTAACGATAAATTTATGTTGACAGTTTCATACAAAAATTATTTTAACCGGCAGAATATACATATATCGTTAACGATAAACGGAGGTTGAGTTAACGGTTCTTAAACTATTAAAAAACTACACTAATTTACAACGACTTGGCTCATGATATAAGACCTATATGGTTTTCTTTATTTATACACCTAAAAATTAGTATTCCCTTTCAAATGTTTTACCAGCACTACTGAAGGATGATGCAAAATTAAAACCTCCTTATCTCAAAATTTACATTAAGAGGTTTTTGAAAAATTGTTAATTAACCATCGGGTATAGATAGTCCTTTCAAAAATATATGTTTCATTATATGAGCAAACAAAAAATTTTAATTTGTAAGCAATTAAAAGTAATCAAAAAATAATCCGACAACTTTCTAGGATTAATTTGTTTTTTTATCATTTTCCATATATTTTGTTGAATTTAAATACAGTGCGTGCTCAATTTGCGCAATTACCTATTATTGTAACTGACCGATTTGCGCAACAGCCTATTAACAGCAACATTTTTCGAAAAAGGGTCGCAATAAGTGCAACTTTGCAAACATTTGCAGCTATTTTCTCTTTTTATTCTCTTTGGTTTAAAATTTATTTGCACAAAAATTGACACTTAAAAAATCTGAACTCACAAAGAATGCATAACGTTTTTTTAAAGTGTAGTGGAGAAAGTTGACAACAAAACAGAAATTTAATATAAACTGAAGCATAGTAAAGTTGTGACAAAAATTTAATTTTACTCAAAATAAATCCACGCGCCAAGTCATATGTTAATGTCCTACAAGAATTCTTTCTCTGTCGGCAAAATTAGCCTTATCTGATTAGATCCATATTAAACTATTCCTATAAAGGGACTTAGCAGTCCAAGTTGAAACAAAAAGCAGTTTTTTAATTAATTATTTTTAATCTGTACTAAATTTATAAAATCATATAAAAAATGTATTTTTATAAATAATGAGGTATGTGAAGAAATTCATTTTTAAAATCGAATCGATTTGAATTCGACAAAAACTATTTTTTGTGTTATTTAATATTAAATTTCTGCGGTTTTTCATAACATTTTTCATACATATTTTTTAAATTGATTCTCTTAAATGGAAAGTAATTTGTTACATATGTAGTATTTTGCAAATCGGTCGAATTTCATCATATACCGTAATGTGTATTAATTTACTTTCATTTTTACTTTTTAATGGTCGCTTTTTGTAACATTTCGGAAATTGCAACAACCCCGATTTCCTTTTGGTTGCGCAAATCGAGCCCGTACAATTTTTATAATTTTGCGGCTTTTCGGATCAATTTACATTTTTAACCCAACCAATATGTTGTCCTGAATTTAAATTTGACATCAGAATCTCTCCACTTCTTCCTACTTAGAGATATATTAACCGAATTCAGCGCAGAAAAGTATACCTTGGTCTCTGGGTTTTGATTTTTTTTTTAAATTTTGTTGGGCTTTGTAGAATTATTTTCTTTAAATTTAAATAAACCCACTTACTTTTAGAATCTTTGCAATCGTAAACAAGCACTAACCAGAAAATGTCTACAAGAGAATTACATAAATTTATAATCATTATGATTCTTTTTGAAGTCTAATTGACTAGTAAATATTCTTAATCAGTGAATATTAAACACATTCAATTATACATTTTTGATCACTGAACTGAGGAAAAAAAGTACACTGTGCGTCGTAAATCTAAGAAATTCGTTATTACTAGGATGCAAATGTGTAGTTTAATTTAGCATACGTTTAGTTCATTGATTCTGTTTACTTTGTGTATCGATTAATAAACACATTTTTTTAATTACGTGGGTGTATATTTAATGACAAAATAACTAATTACGCACAACGTTACGGAAGCGATTGTCACAAATACGATTGCAGTTATTATGATTTTAATATCCATCTCAGAAATTTTGCCAAAAAATCCTGTAAAAGTATTACATATAAACAAGTATGAATTAAATCATCAATTATAAAGATAATTATTTTTTAATTGAAAACATTTACAGGAAAGAGGAAATAGAAAAAAGAACATGGGATAAAAAAAAGCTAATGAAATGTAATTATACACACACGAGTATAAGGAACGAGTATGTAGTAATCATGAACTTGTTGTACAATTCAATTCATTTGGTTTTTTATACTAATATGCATCGAATAATGAATAAATAAAAAAATTATATGAATATAGCATAAATGTAGATATGTATGATTATATGTATTTATATAATACATACTTATGTCTGCATTTATAAAATCATCAAGATACATTAAAAAGCTGTTCAATTAGTTTTTACAATCATACAGCTATGGATAAAACTATAGAAATCACCAATTAAATTTATGTATTCCATTTTATGCCAAGTTCTCATGAGAAGTTGAATTACATACTTAATTCACCCTCTGAATTGCAATTACAAATTAACCTGTTCTCACGACAGGTTCTTTATTCGATTTAACAGTTCACCGCCATTTTTTAGTTGCTTTTAAAAAAATAATACAAAACTGCATTACTTTAAAAATATACATATAAAAAATATTTACTGCTTATTTGTGTCTTCATTATTATTTTCTTCCAACAAATGTCACATATGTATTCGTGATTCGTAAAGTTTTTCAAACTAAATTAAGTGCAAACAAGGAACTTAAAAATTTTATAACGAACTGTTTTAAAAGCCAGACAATTACACAGAAGATGAGTTATGGTTTACTCTTCATCCTCATTTTGTCAACTTCTGCAGAAATCGACCAGGCATTGCGGCTTGGCTGTTGAATGATCAGTATAGATACTGATCATTAGGTATTCGATGATACCTAAGCCAATTTGTTATCCTTTATCGCTGATATTTCAACTTGGATAATATGTAGTAATTTAGTCTAAAGGAGATTTTAGTTCCAAAGAGCCCCATCGTTATGAAGAATTGTATTTACCTGAGAATCAGTAATTCGGTTCTTAATTGACGGTTGAATTACAAATAATTGCATCGTGAGAACGTGACATTAGAAATATCGACTTTTATCAAACCTAACGGAAACAAATATAACTTCATATTTATGTGATATTAATCAGGAATATAAATTTTAATGAATTAGAGATGGTAGAAATTTCCAGGTTGAAACATCTTAAGAATCCACTCTTTTTTTTTGTTTTCTCTATCTTTGGATCTTTACAATTTACCTTTTATGGAGTATATCTTTTCTAAACATAAAACCTGAATTATGAGAAAAATTTTTAAATATTGTTTATAATTTAACTTGCAGGGCGATAGATAAACAAATGCAAAATAAAAGGAAAGTAGCTTTTTAGTTATTTGAACATGTAGGGTGGAGGGGGGATCATACGCCATAGGGGCACATCTGCCAATAGCGAATAACTTTAAAACCGAGTAATCGATTTTATCGCATTATCGAATTTTGTTTTCGTTTATCGATTATCTATCATCCCTGAAAGTTTGAAAGATTAACTTTATATATGATGGGAGGCAGACGAGATTAATTGTTTTTCAAAGGGCTGTGAAAATATTTCACTGTGTGAATTTTTTGTGCTAACTTTTTTAGTTTTTGTGATAGAAAAAATATATTGCTCAGTGATAGAACGTCAATAATAGTGAACAATAAGACATAATAATTTTTTCGATAATATAATCTGAAGCCCGAAAAAAATTGAAACTAAACCCCAGAACTGCCCGTGGGGCACATTCGCCAAATATATGTAATGCTTGTGATGTAGAACAAAATTTGGTTAAAATATAGAAAAAACCAATAATAATTTGTTTTAATTTTTTTTTTGTTAAGTTATGTGAAATAAACAATAAATATCTGGTTTATTATACTTTGTTAAATGAATTAAAATATAAAACAGCGAAATAAGTTTTATTTTTTTAAATTTTTTGGTTGATTTTACTAATGACAAATCTGCCCCATCCTCTTGGCGTATTTACCCCATGGATGGGGCGGTATCGCCGTTTTTGGTCAGTTCAGAAAAGTTAAAAAAATATGTACATTAGGATGGCTTAGGAAAGATTGAAAGGGATAAAACTAAAGCCAACATATCTAAGTATCCGAAAGAATATGTATTGTGGTTTTAATTTGAGGGCGCCTCAAAAAAAAAAGTGGCATATGGTCCCCCTTCTACCCTACTTTCAACGCTTAAATCTTTAATTTAACAAAATAATTTATTTTAACCATTAATATTTTTGAATTAAAAATATTAAAATATAATTAATCTTTAAATTCTGTAGGATTTATGTAATTCTTAACAAGATACAAAATTCTAAATTGTTATTTTGAAATTAAAAAGAAAGAGACTGCGGCTAGTGTTATACGAGTTACACTAGCTAGTATGTATATGTGTATAATCTTAGTTAAAGCGAATATTTTATAAATAATGTTCGATAAATATTCTGTATACATACATATATAATAGCTATATATATTTTGATATATTGGTCGTTAGGTTTGTAAAAATTCTCATACATGGTGTTTCTCTTGATTATTCCATATTGTATTAGTCTCAAATTTATGCGAGTAAAATCGATTAAAGAACAATAAATTTAAGAGATTTGATTTAAATAAAAAATGATTATGATATCTAATTGTATGTATCTAGTATTAAAAAACTATTTTATTTTAAGCCGATTTTTTGCAAAAATAAGAGGAGTCGATCCTATTCTAATAGACTTCTATATTAAATAATGTAAAATATTTTATATGTTATTATAGCATTTTTATACATCACTTTTGAATAGTTTTGATTTAAAGCAAATATGACGTGACTTTTTGAAAAAATTTTGTGACCAATGTTATTAAGCTATTATAATAACAAAAATTAATTGGTTTAACCTTTACTATAATATGATACATAACATAATATTAAAAACATAACATTGTTTATTGGTTTGTATAATTAATTAAAGTTTTCTTCTGGGAGAGACACCCACCTGATACTGATTTACTTTCACTTGGTATGAAATAAATATTGTCATCGCCTTCGAAATACTATGTAGGGTAACCAATAAAATAAAGAATTTGTTTCAATAAGCAGTAATCGTTATCAACAGCCTACACTACATATATTTCTTGATCAATGGTAAATTATATGAAATTACTATAATGAAATGATTCATGACCAAGGGGTGTATCATTCATTAAAAATTTATTTTTTAAAGGTATATCGATTACCTTAAGTGTTGGTAATACATACACAGTTTTTACTTTTCTCGTAGTAATATGTATTTATAAGTTATATTTAATTATTTACGAAATTGGGAAAAGTTTACGATATATAAACTTATAAATAATGCTATGCGCACAATTGGGACGAACGACGAAATTTTCGGAACGAATTTTCGTCATCAGATATAGAACACACTAAAGTATATGAAAATATGCACAATAAAGACGTGGAGTAGTACACCACAAAGTATTTGTAAAACAAATACACCATGGTGAGTACCTAATACTATAAGTATAAATGAGAGAATGAGTGTAACTGATATTGTATGCTTTTGCTTGTGCTCATCCACTCTATCCACAAAAACAATACCAGTTGCTTATGGTTTTGGGTTGAATACTGTATTGTATTTGTTTCTTGCTCTCAAATAACTGTTGTACTACAAATATTTTTGACTATTTGTTGTTACTTATAGTAATACAAAGAATATATATTGATGGAGTATGTTTATTTGTATTAAATAAGATTATTTCAAAACAAAAGAAAAATATGTAATAAATGAATAATAAATTAGTGAATATTTTTATATTTATTTTTAATTTTTTATTTATTTATATTTTTATATTTTTATTTAATATTCTAGTTCAGTTCTAGTTAGTTCTAGTTCAGTTTTCAGTTTTTTTATTTAATATTTATTTAAACTGAAAAACGATTTCAATTACCAAAACCTCGTTATCAATTATTTTATTTATTGAAGTTTAATTTTTGATTGATTTCACACAAAATTTTTATTTGTTTCTAATTTTGTTGTTGTTAAATACGTATTTGAGTATACATTTTTATGATTCAAACACAAAATGAATTGAACCATTTTAAAATTTTCGATTAATCGTTTAACTGATTTTTTTTTTAAATTTGTTTTTTCTGTGATATTTTCTGATAGTAATTCAACATTTTCTGAAAATAATTCTAGTGAACTATTGAGGATATTAAAATAAATTTTACATATTCTTATGTGGTCTCCAGAGTTATATTTTTTAATCGACATAAAATCAATAATTAACGAAAAGAAAATATATAGATATTCCCTATAATCATTTATTTGATAAAAAAAATTAAAATACAACATTTAAAAGAACATTTTTTTTTTTAATTTTGAAAAATGTCTCTCAAAAAATCTCAAAAAAAGTCTAAGCCTAATATCTGATCTAAAGAAAAGTGTAACGAGAAACAGCTTTTTGTGATTTAAAGTGGGCACAAGTCTCAAATAATGTGTATTGTCGTAGTGAACTCAAAAAAAAAAAAAAAAAAAAAAAATAAAAAATAATTTTCCCACCTATTGAAAATAATGATCTCAGTACAAATTATAAAAAAAGTTTCCTACATTTTTTAGAAAAAATAATCATAAAATTGTTTGAAGTACTTTTATTTCACAGAATTACTTTTAGTGCTTCAGAATTCCTACATAAATTAAAAAAGTCATTAAGTAAAAAGCTAAATATTTTTGTAAACTTTTCTTAAAATTACGATAATTTTTACATATTTCGAAAAAAATTCAAAATCTTTGTGTCCTTTGTAATGCGCTAAATAAAAGTCTTTTTGTGGACCAAAAATATTCTTACAAATTTTACAATTTAGGGAATATTTGAGATGAATTTCGACAAAATTTAAAAACTTATTTTTTGGCAAATTGTACTGAGATCAGGATTTTCAATTAGGAAACTAAGGACCCTTTCAAAAGTTTTGTATTTTTTCATTAAAATGTTTTTTTTTTAATTCGGATCATAAATGCATTTTTATTGATTTTAAAAAAATTGACCTACGGAGTCTACAGATTGTAAGTAGATACGCAAACACCTCAGCTCTAACTATGTTAAATTTTGCTACGATATCTCCTATAGATCACGAGATACCGAATATACATTATAAAATAATAAAAAAATGTTACTAAACAACTATGTTTTTATACGCTTGCAGCATTCAATAAGTTATTTGTTGTACAACCATCACAAAGTATACAGAGGTGTTACTTTTGACATTTAAAAAAGTCTAAAATCAGTTTTGTTTGATTTTGAAATTGTTTGGTGAGAAGAGGTATATAAAATACAGCTGAAATCGTTTTGTGCGAAAGAGAGGGAAATAGTTTTTTGCTCGTGACCATAGCTGCCAGATTTGACGATTTATCGTCATTTTGACGATTCTTCGTTTCAAAAATAGCAAATTGACGATTTGACGATTTTTTCCTTGAAACTGACGATTTTTGCAAAATTAAAAAAAAAAAAATTTTATAATTTGTTTTTTTTTATTTTACAGTGAAAAAAGGAAATTAATATTAAACTTGGAAAATAGAATTTATATTATAATGAAAACTAGAAATTAAATTCTAGAAGAGCTATTATAAAACATTTAAGTCGAAAAAGTGTGTTTTGAATTTTAAGCTCTCAAAGCTTAAACATATTTTACATCTAAATGTGTATGCTATGTTATATTATTTTTTATTACTTTTGAAGAGATCGACAGATCTGAATCAAATTTTCACACTGTATAAGTTAAATCCAAACAAGTACAAACAAGTTTTGTAAAAGAACTAAATTATACGAAAAAATCTCACCAAGTTTAATCTTTTTATATCTACTCAGTAAAAAATAGTGCTTCCTCGGAAGCAGATTTGTAAGGCAGAGAGCAGTTGTTACTGCTAGCACTTGTTATGAAAGAATATATGATTTTTATATGGGGAGGCTCTGCCTAAGGAATCCAAAATGTGCATATTTCATACTGTTGAAATGAATATTATTTTTCAACACTGGACATTGATTTAAATTAGAAAGATGCAAAAATTAAGTGATTTTAGAGCTGTTGAGAAGCAAATTTCTACACCACAAACAATAATTGCTGAATATATGCCTTCCAAAATCTTTTTTGTAAGGCAATAATTTTAAGATGCAATAAAGGAAGGAGTTAAAGATGCAGTAGTTATATTTATTGCTTCCAAATCAAGAATATCTTTTGATGGGTAAGTACTTGTTTACAGAAAACTTTCAAAAATTTTACAAGCAGTTTTTTGCTTAATAAGATTACAATATTCCTTATGCACCAAAACAAGCAATATAGTGATGCAACAAACTTTGAGAAATTTAAGAAAAAAGATGAACACGTTTCTATACCTAAAAACTATATGTGTACACTATGTAAATTTTAGCAGTATTTATGTTTGATATTTTTAAAAATGCTAGAACATTGAAAACATTATGAGAACATTAGAAAAGACTTAACATTACTGTCGAATATTCTTCAAAACTCAAAGTTTATTGAATTTTGAGCAATAATATTCCGTATTTTTCGAATTTTACATAAATATGTATTAATATTATAAATTTTTTAATATATTTCATCTTAAAATATTACAATATTTTTAATTTTTTATAAAAATTTTAAGCTTTTCATATTCTCCGATTTTTTTGACGATTTTTTAAAACCAAAATGACGATTATTTAAAAATTTATCGGGAAATTGACGATTTTTTCAAAAATTCATCTGGCAGCCCTGCTCGTGACGCCTCTGTATACCCTGTGCAACCATCATTATCAATTTTATTTGTTTGGCAAAAGTATAGCAAAATAAGTATGTTACTCTTATTCTCTTTGTACTCACTCAAACAACCTATGTTTGAGAAAATAACAATATCAACTTGTACCAGAACTACTCAACTACTCATCAATACGCACTCACAGTAGTAGACACTACAAAACTTGTGCAAACAGTTGTAACTGTGCACGTCTTTAATGCACAATCAGTACGTATGACGAAATTCGTCGTACGTTACGAACTGTGCGATAGGTTTATTTCTATTTCATACGGAGACGAACGACGAATAAATTGGTTTAGAGTGACCGTATTTCATTTTACATTTTTTGTTTCTTCTAAATAAAGCTACATTTCGTTTAAAGAAATGTTTTTTCTTATTTTTATGGTAAATAAATTAATTTAACACAATTTTTATTAACATTGTTTTCCTTCAATATTCAAAATAAAATATTTTTAATGAATTTTTGAAATTAAATAATGTTTGATTTAGAAATATGGTCACCCCTTTCAGATTTGAAAATTAATAAATAAATACAATTTCGTGCAATTTGTTTGTATTTTAAATAAAAAATATTATTTAATAGTGAAATTATGTCGAGAAAGTGCCGCGAGATTAAAAGAAATATCAGAGATTTGAAAATAATTCGTAGTGCGTAAAAGTTTATTGTGTTTTAAGTGACGAATTTACGCAACCAATTTTCGTAGTGATGAACGAAATTCGTAGTTCGTCCCAATTGTGCGTATACCATAATTTAATTAATAGAAAACAATTAAGACCGGGTTTTTGAGTTTGCAATCAAATGGCAATTAATAATTAGATTAGTTGATCTAAAAATAAATTTAATCCAATGTTAATACCATTTGATGTTTTTGAGTACAAGATTAAACTTCGCAGTGTTGCCATACAAAACAACAGAAAATGTCACTGTTTGTTATCAAAACAATGCATATTTTATAAAAAAGAAGAAGATAATTGTAAATTTAATATGAAAATTAATGAAAACTTAAATTAAAAACAAAAAAATGTATTTTGAAGTGTCCATAATTTATACTAATCAATAAATAGAACATTTTAATGTTTATATTTATAAAAATTTTATTAATTTTTTTGCATCAGCTGTTTACACTTTTGCATTTCGTGCTTAAGATTAAACCACCTCCATTGGGCGCTTAAACTTGCAAACAAAATTAACTAATTGAGTACTCAAAAACATCTTTCGAGGATTAATTTTAATTTAAT